CCAGCGAGAACTGGCCCCGCCTGGGCACGCCCTGCTGCATGGCGGTCCGTGGGGCGGACAGAGCAGCTGCGCTTATGGCGTCTGAAAAGAGTTTGCCGAGCGCTCGCAGGAGTCGCTGGCGACGACAATGGCATGCGACTGGCCAGTAGCAGCTCGCAACCAGAAAATAGCAACGGAGGGAGATGCGGAAGAGGGCGGTCGCAGTTAACAGCGCCAGGCGGAGAGGCTCCTGGTCGGCAGTGGTCCACGCGGCCCAGCCCCGCCTGGGCGGGGCGGAGTCGAAGGACAACATCGATGATCCAATAGCTCCCTCCCTGCTCGCTCATGCAATGAATTCCAAGCCCGTGCCCTAGGTTCGATGGGCACCCTGCGTCCTGGCGGCAGCCGCGGGCGTCGCGGCCGGCTTCCGCCTGCTGTTTCCCAAGAGGGGGGCCCAACTGGATGGTATCGTTCAGGGCCTCAATCGCGACCCTGTCGGAACCGACCTGGACCGTCTGGTCACGCAGCGCGGCGTGTACTTCGCGAACTTCCCCCTGACTGCGGCGCAGGAGCCGCAGGCAGCAATGGGGTGCCAATGTGTTCCTGAAGGCGAAATTGTAAAACTCCTCAGGCTTCGGCATAGCGTCGTTGACGGCTTCCGTCGTAATCAGCCCCGTAGCGGGGCGCGCGCGGTTGAGGCTGAGTCGGAATGCCTCCGAGCCCTCCCGGCCCACCTCGCCCTGGATCTTGAAGTCAGTGGCGTAGTCGTGAACGTTGGGGCTCTGCTTAGCTCTCCGCTTCTCGGCCGCGAGCGCGCCGGCGACGACCGAGGGGGTGGCCGCCGCGCGGCCGCCGCGAGATGGTTTCCACTTCAACTTCGTGGCCGCTGTGAGCGGGCCCCCCAGCATGCATGCATCGAGGAGCTCAACCCGCGCATATGAACACGCCCCAGCGTAAACCAGCGCCCTGCAGTCGGAGAGGACCAAGAGCCGGGCGCAGAGCGGCCACTAGTGGTGCAATGAAATGGGCCTGTTGAACTTGAGTTTAATGGCACCTGGATCACTGCACGCGAGCGCGAGGCCGAAGAAGGCGCTGCCTCGGAGAGCGGAGCGGCGGCGGTGGCGGAGCTGCTCGCCCAGTTCCTCCGTTGCCCCCGATACCTCTGCAGCGCTGGCGCTGCTCCTTCCGGGCGAGCGGCGCAGGATGTCAGCGAGCAGCGGGCCCCGCATAATGGCGTGGAACAGGGGGTCGGCGTCGGCGAGCATGTCCAGACATGCCAGAAACGGCGCCCACCACCAGGGCGGCGGGCTTGAAAGTCAGATCCCCGGAGGCGCGCCCGGCGCCGATCAAGGCCACTGGGAACGGCAGACCGCGTTCGAGTGTGCCCGGGGCCGCTGCGACGTGTCCCTCAGAAGGGCGGGGCACACAAGAGAACCTTTCACTGTGGATTCCAACTTCTCTCCACGGAGAGGATATCAATACAAGTCCATGATGGCCAACGCGGAAATCGCGTCGCGACGCAAATGGAGCGGCGCGACCACCCGCGCGCTGACCGGGAAGTTAGACGAACCAGCTCCCCGCAGAAGTGAAGCGAGGAGGTGGGCAAGGGCGTTGCTATCGGACGAACCCCGCATCGCGATCGCGAGTCCTCCGAGCTCGCCCCAAACCTGGTCGTCGCGCTTCTCGGCGAGATCAGCGCGCGCACGGGGGCGAGGCGCGCAGTTCGGGGTCGAGGCGTGGCTGAGCACGTAAGACCGCTGCGCGAAGAAGCTTTCGTTCGCAATGACCTTCGCGTTGTTCAACGCCTCAAGCCCGTCCTTGCCGAGCTCCTTCCACGGCGGCAACCTGCCCGCCCTGCTCCTGCGACGAGCGCGCAGAATCTCAGGCGCATCCTCGATGAATTTGGCGGCATCTGCGTTTAACCGCAGCCCCGGATAATAACCTCTTGGGGATAATAATTGCCCGGGCAAAGCAACCTAACAGCGATGTGTGAACAGTATGATTGTCAGGATTTGGAAATCTGGGACGTTGAACCCCGCAATGTCAGATTCAAAACGCGCAATCCAGAAACGCGCCAGCGTCTGGTCGATCCGTTCTCCCGCATGGACACGAACATCGACGAGAGCCGTCCCTGAGTTCGGTTGTCTTTCATCTCCAAGATTCTCAAACTCAGTGCTGAAGAGGAACGTTATACATGTGGCCTCATCGGCATGGCGCCCACCAGTGTTCACTCCAAAGTTGATCACTGCTGGGGGAACTCTCATAGTGATGGTCCTTGCGAGACCTCCAAGGTCACGCTGTAAGGCAGCGGCCTGTTGGGAGGAAATCACGGCACCTGTGGCCACGTTGATCCAGGCATGTGCCTCGCGAGCGAATTCGCGGAAAGGTACGTTACCGGCAGGGTCCCAGTGGGGGCCGCCAGTGCGCGCGTCGTCTGCACCGCGCTGCACGTGTCCAACAGCGCATCCGATGACGACCCACAGGAGGCCGAATATAGTGATGCCAAACCAGTGGCCTCGTGGGTCGGTGTCGCTTATAGGTGGCTGTTGGTTGTCAGGTGGCGCTGCCGTCAGCTTGCGAGGAAGCGCAGGCGGCGCGATGTCATAACGCACGTTTCCATGCATAGTATATTCGAAGAAATTGCTTATTATCGTTGGTGGGTGGACTTCAGGAGTGTAGTAGCGCAGGGATGCAGGGCTCAGGTCGGATACCTCTGCGTGAACAGAGGCTTCAATGCAAGTGTTCTTGCGATGGCCGCGGTTTCCTCCGCGTAGAGCCACTGCGCCCCGATGGTCCACCATGTCAATAGTCCACCAGATAGCGCCGTGGATAACAAGGGGCAGAGCTAGAGTTGACCGCCAACGGCCAGCTCCGCTACAATGATTAGAGCGAGGTGGTAGGCCCAACCAAAAATACGCCCTAGGCGAAGTATCCGCCCAACCTTGTTGCATCGCAGTAGAGATCGAGCAGAGAGGTGGGGGGTGGCCGCGTGGGCAGCGAGATGACATCTCAAGGGGCTGTTCTCCGTATTGATGTCGGATAGTGCGCCGCAGAGCGGCGCAGTCAAATCGGCGGCAGGTCGCTCGAGTCCAGGCTGCCGCGGGCAGACGCTCGATATCTGTCGCCTTTGCCCGTCCTCCTTCAGAGTAACTTGTCTGTCACCTCTTGCGAGCCCGCAGAAAACTTAACTGCGCGCAAGCGGGGCGCGATGAGCTGCTCCGAGGGGTCGGTGCCCCCGCGCGTCGCGCAGCCCAGTGCCTGCCAGTGGTCCGAGTAGCCTAGCTCCGCAAGAATGTCCGAAAGATCGGCGGTGTACAAACCTCCCTGTAGGAAACCTCTCCTTCGTGAAAACGGCCCGGGACCGAAACTGACGGACCTGGACCCGTAAAAAAGACGGCCGCGACGCCCTCTCGCGAGCCGAAAACGGCCAATTCCTCAATCGACGCGTCAGGGCGCGAGGTCTGTCCACGCCCGAAAAAAAAACACCCAGTCGCGGGGGGGGGCTGGAAGGGCGTCTCCTGGCCAGGTTGATGGGCAGGGGCGGCGGCCTGCGTGATCGGGAAGTGGGAAAGAGCATGCTCTTCGAGCCACTCCCGGAGGAGGCCGTCGGCGATCGAGCTGGCCGGCGCGGTGGGAACGACGGGAAGGGGGGCAGGAGGAGGAGGGGGGGGGAGGAGGGGCGCGCGCGCACAGAAAGGGGGCGAGACGAGGGCAAGCGGACAAGACGCGAGAAGAGGGCAAGTGATCCCGCTCCTGCCAGTCGCCGCGCGTCTAGTCCCCAGCGGATGTTGATATTGATGTAGTACATTGCGAAGACGGCGCAGGCCGCAATGAGGAAGTGAGCGGGCGCAGGAGCTCGTCACTCTCGAAATGCAGCTTGAGCTCGTCGACCTCGCTCGGCGAGAACAGCTGGCCGAAATCAGACTGCAGCGCGCGCTCGTCGAACTCGTCCAGCTCGTCGCGCGCGGGCGGCTACTGCAGCTCGTCGAATTCCAGCTCGTCGTGCGCCAGCTCGTAAGCGATCTGTTGCTGCAGCTCGTTGGCCTCGCTCGGCATGAGCAGCTCGTCGAACTCGGACTGCGCCGCCTTCCGCTCGGGCTGCGGCATGCGCAGGTCGATGGAGTCCAGAACCTTCGTGAAACCGTCGCAGCACTCGACTGTTTCTGGACGCGCGCGAGAAGGTTGTCGAAGTAGATGTCACGAAAGCCAGAGGCGTCGTGACTTTCATTGGTCGGCTCGACGCGCTCGAGCTCCGAGTTGAACTCTATCTCGTCGGTTTCCAGCTCGCGCGCGACCTGCTGCTGCAGCTCGTAGGTCTCGCTCGGGCTGAGCAGCTCGTCGGTCTCGGACCGCGTCGCCCCCGCGTCGGCGGCTGCGTCGAACTTCAGCTCGGCGGGCGCGGTTGGAAGCGGCGCGGGGGGGGGGGGGTGGTCTTGAGCGGCGTGGGCAGCGCGGTGGTCTCGGACTGCGTCAGCGGCTTGGGCGACTCGGCGACGGCAGCGCCTTGGATTCCTGATGCAAGCGGCTGGCACGCGGCTCGGGCCGCGAGTTCAGGACCTTCACGAAGTCGTCGCAACAGTCATCGCGCTTGACGTGCGTCAGCAGGGTGTCGAAGTAGTTGTCGAATTGGGGAGAGCCATCGTGGTTGTCAGGGTGCCGCTCGTGGCCTTGTAATAACTGGAAGCGCTGCTCGATGGAGTCGATATGCTGCTGCGTCTCTTCGGCGTCCACTTCGATGAGTTTTAGCCTCTGGTCGACTGTGTCCAGGAGCTCTGTATACCGGTTGTTGACGCGCAGCCCCAGCTGGGTGACTTGCGTCTTCAGCTCAGTTGGATGAGTGCGAGCTTCTGCTACTGGTAGGCGAACGTCAGCCGCAGCTGTGTAAACAAGTTCTACCACTCGGCGCGCTTCGTCAGGTGCTCGGCGAGTGGCGCGAAGGCGTCCGTGAGCTTCATCTGCCGCGCGCCGCGCATCAGCTGCAGCCGCGTGTACTTCATCTCCAATCTCGCGGATGTCGAGGGTCAGAATATGCGAGTCGCGGCGGCAAGGTCGGAGCGGATGTCGACGATCTCTTTGGCGACCTGACTCTGGAGGGAGTCCGCGACGGGCGTGGCCGACGCAGCGAAAAGGGTGGGCAGCTGCTTGGCGCTGGAAGCCGACAGAAGTTCGAAGCCCGCGAGAATCTTTTCGTCCAGCTTATCTAGGGTCCGCTTCTCGAATGCGTGGAGGGTGCTATCGAGGGTCGCCTCGCCGGGGGGCGCTGGGTTTGAGCCGCGAGGGCCCGAACAACCTGGAACGGGCACCCGGCTCTATGGAGTCGACGCGGGGCTCGAAGCTGTTGGCCGCAGGCATGTTCTCGCCGATGGTGTCAGCGGCGGCGTCGGGGGCCCGCGGAGGGAAGTCCGCGTCGTAGGTGTCCGCCCAGGCGACGCGCTTGACGGGCGGCGGGCATGGAGGGGGCTCCTCGACGTTGCCGACCAACGTTTGCGGCGAGCGATGTTGCAAGCCGTATTCCAGCACTTGAAGTCTAGCTCCTGCTGTGGTGTGAGGTGTCCACGGGCAGACGCCACCGCGCAGAGCTCGGAGCCGCTGCGCCTGTGGAGCCCAGTCTTGAGCTCAAGCTTGCGCACGTTGTCCGTCGCGCAAGCCAGACCCTTCGCCTCGCGCGAGACGGCTGTTGGAACAGAGATCCGAACCAGCTCAGGACCAACACGTGGACGCAAAAGTCCCTTTCCCACGGCTCGTCGCCGGCGTCAAGTGCAGTGAAGGAACGGCGTCCGCGGGGTCGAAGAGGGTTCGGGGTACGAGTCGAGGTCGTACAAGTTGTAGAAGCTGATGAGGGAGTCGCCGCGCTTGCAGCTGGGGACGTCCATGGAGCACCTCCATTGGCCGTGATCATCACCGCGCTTGCAGTGTAGAGAATCGTCGGCCATTACAGGAGCTTCATGAACATTCCATGGCCTCCGCGCCTGCAGAATCGCCGCTCGGGTCCCGGGGTTGCGCGCGCGCGCGGGAATGGCACTGAGCCAAAATAGCTACGGAAGCAGGAGGAGGAGGAGGAGGAGGAGGAGGAGGAGGAGGAGGAAGAGGAGGAGGAGGAGGAGGAGTCGGCCCGGAAGCGGTGGGGCTCCGGGGAGTAGCCTGGGAGCACCGCGATCAGCCAGCTGCTCGACCTCCGGCGTGATGTCCGTGGCCATCGCCTGTTCCCGTGGCTGGAGGTCGGGCGGCAGCCTGGTGAGCCGGGCGGCATCAGCAGCAGCGGGGCTAGTCCTCGCGACAGTCTCCGAGTCGATCCCGATAACCTCCAGCTCGGCCAGCACGCCGGCCACCCCGACGTCAGCGGGGGCGCCCACCTGCACGGCACCCTGGTCAACTTCGATGTCGTTCGCGTGGTCGGAGACACCGATCTCGAGGTTCCTGGTAGCCTGGGTCAGGCCCGAACCCTCAGCCGGCTGCGCAGCAGTGGGTGCGTTCAGCTCCACGGCCCCGTGCCCAGCACAGAAGTGCGAGCCCAGGACGGCCTCGCTGGCCAGCCCCTGGCCTAAGCAGATCTGGCAGGGCGGCGGCAACAGACTGTACAGGTGAGGGTGAACAAACAAAAAGAGAGCGCCTGAATGAGCCCTGTGCGAGGGCCAACGTAAGCACAGTCAGCATACAAGCAGCGAGCGGAAGTGGCAAGAAAAAACATATTATGGGAACGCCTGCGGAATGCGTGGAAAAGCTGGTGGGGATGGCGGGGAGGAAGGAGCAGAGACGAGCGGAGGCCTGTCACGAGAGCAAAAATGGAGGAAGCCTCCGAGGCATCACCGCAGAACAGGCATGACTTGATCTAACCTTGCGTACTGCACGGAAGAGGGTTGCGAGGACGGAGCAAGAGAATGTCGGGGCCAGGGGCCAAGCATACCAACCTAAACTTATCAATGGAACATGCCTGAGCACATGTGGGCGAGGAGGAGAAGGAACGGGAGGAGAAGGAGAAAGATAATGAACGGGGCGGAGGAGAAAGTTAGGGAGGAGGGGGGGATGAGAGGTGGAGGAGGCGGAGGAAAAGGAGGAGGACGAGGGGGAGGAAAAGGAGGAGAAGGTGCTTGAGTATAGTGCGGGAGGCATAGGAAGGAGGCCATATCGAATGTAACACTATGGACCCACCATGAACTCGGAAAGGGATGAGCAAGAAGGAAGGAAGAGTGAAGACGGAGAAAGGAGAAGGATGATACGGGTGAAGTAACGAGTGGGAAACAAGAGAAATCACCCAAGCGAGGCCATATTATACGTAATGTCTGTGCGAGCGGAGGACGGAGGAGGGACACTCTGAGGAGGGAGGACGGGGGAGGGGTGAATATTGAGGCAGGAGGCGGGGGGAAAACAACCGAACTGCTTTCGGGCCATAGCTCGGATCTGCGGAAACAGCTCGGGACCATCCCTGCTCCCCCAGGACGCTCGCGGCGAAGCGCAGCTGTGAGCGAGCATCCCGCTGCGAGAAAACCTGCGGCAACCAGCGAAAAATCCCCAAACACGTATGGGCATGCATGATGGGGCTGTGGAAGATTGGAAGGGGCCTGGGACACACAAATAAATGCACACAAATAAAAAAGATTCCCGATATTTTCCTATATGTTCTAGGCTTTTGTTTTCCCCCCCACTTCCAATATGTTCCCGTATTTTCGGGGGAATCGACGATTCGTTGCGTCAACGTGTTTTTTCCCTCCTGAAAGAGGGCCAAAGGATGCCCGAGGTGGTCCTGGCCCAAGCCGACCCCGGGCGCCACTCGGGAAAACACTTCCTCCCCCTGTGATCTGGGACGCCCCCGGCTCGACCCCTGGCGGTTTCCCAGCATCCTGCCTCCCTCTCCCCCGGCGTTGGCCTCTGCCGCCGGGGCCCTGGCCGCGCCCCGCGCGGCCGCCGACGCTGGGGCTCCTCGGCTGTTGGGCCCGCCAGGCAGCGGCGAGGCGGCCGCGACGGCTACGATCACTACGGCGTCCACGACCGCAGCGAGGGCCACCGTCGCCACACGCCGCGGCCACGAAGGGGGGAGGGGAGGAGAGGAGGCAAGGGGAAAGCAGGGAGAAGGCGAGGAGGTGGCGAGACGGGGAGGACGTGAGAGATTGGAAGGGGTAGAAAAGGGAGAAGGAGCAGAGAGAAGAAGGGAGGAGGAGGAGGAAGAAGGGGTGAGGAGGAGGAGGAGGAGGAGGAGGAGGAGGAGGAGGAGGAGGAGGAGGAGGAGGAGGAGGAGGACGAACTAGAACGCCGGGGGCTGGTGGTGGGGACCAGACAGCAATGCGGCGATCAGCGGACCTTTTCTTTCTGTGCCAAAGATGCATGCGATCCGGTGTTTGTGTTTAGATTGCAGCAGAGCGTCCTATTCGAGTCGGGATTGCGCTGGCGATCGAACAGCTCTGGTAGAGCAAAGAAACCGAGAAAGAGGGACTGCCAGAATTGTCCAACCCCGCGCACCTTCCCAATCCGACCGAGAATGGCGCGCGCTGGGCCGGCGAAGTGCGTGCTCACTGACTGCAGTCAGAGGGGGGCGCGCTCGTGCTCTTCTCTTATGGACGGCACCGAGCAGCTCACCTGAGCGTTGCGACGTGGCCAGCTCAAGTGCGGTGACTGCGCGCGCGCGGGGGCCGTGCGTCGCGATCGAAATGACCGAAAGTGCGCGCGAAGCTCGACGAAGTGCGACGCGCGACCCGCGAAGGGGACGGACGAGGATGTGGCGGGGCCTTGGGCTGGTGGAGTGGAGCGGGGAAGAGGTGGCAGTTTTCCATGAGGGCGCGCGGGTGGTGATGTCCTGCGCTGCGCCTCGCCGCTCAGTCTGTGTCCTCGAGTCGCCGCGCTTCGGGTTCCGCATCTGCTTGCTCTGGAGGCCGCCGCGGCGGGTCTATTTGGGGGCCCTCTCGGGCTCGGCCGTGGGGGCCTCTGTCTGCTTGCCCTCGTCCTTGCTGCCCTTGCTGCTCACGTCGCCATTGTGGCCGCGCCTGGACTGCTGGCGCTGCGCCGGGCCCAGGCAGCAGACGAGCGCCCGGGGCCCCAGGACGCGTTGGGCGCGCGCGCGCCGCCCAGGCGAGGTCGCCTCTGCCTGTGGCGCCAGAATGAACTACGCACTTGGTCCTGGCTGCGGGCTGCATGCGAAATATGCGCCGCCGCGGCGCGCAGTCTAGGGGGGGCGGCCAACGCCAGAGCGCCAGCTCCAGGCGGCCAGTCCAACGCGAAGACATCCCGGCAGAGCAGCAGAACAGGCGCGCCATATGCACGCGCGCTGACAAGCCGAAAACTGCTGAGGCTCCCCGGCTGAGCTTGCCAACCAACTTTTTGGCTTCCGCTTGAGAGAGTGCTTGCCTTGCCAGAATGGGCCGAATCTGGCGTTTCCAACGCGCGAACTTGTCAGGGCCGCCCGACATGCGCACGGCGCAAGCACCTGGCTCGATCGCGCAATCAACTCTCATGATTTGAGCTGCCGCGGAGGCTGGCGCTCGCTTGGAGGCGTCGAGCTCCCGCCCGAGCAATTCTGAAACGACCTCTGCGGCGACGTCGCTGGCCCCAGCTGGCGCCGCCAACCGCGGCGCCTCCTCGGCGGCGCTGTCCGCCCCGAACAAATCGGGGCGGAAGTGCTTTACATGGGAGCGCGGTCGCGCACGCCTCCATTGTGTGTGTCTGAAGGGCCAGCGCTAGCTCGAGGCCAGAAACGCACCACGCTCGACGCCCACGCTCGCCGAACACACTCGCGCCCACGCTCAATGCCGACGCTCGCTCTCCATGCTCGCCGCTCGCACTCGCGCCCACGCTCTACGCCCACTGTCTACACGCACTCTCGCACCCCACGCTGCACGCCCACACTCGAACCCCGCGCTCGCACCCCGCGCTCTACCCCCCCCCCCCCGCACTCACACACACACACACACACGCACACACACACACACACGCGCACACGCACACGCACACGCACACGCACACGCACACGCACACGCACACGCACACGCACACGCACACGCACACGCACACGCACACGCACACGCACACGCACACGCACACGCACACGCACACACGCACACGCACACGCACACACGCACACGCACACGCACACGCACACGCACACGCACACGCACACGCACACGCACACGCACACGCACACGCACACGCACACGCACACGCACACGCACACGCACACGCACACGCACACGCACACACACACACACACACACGCACACGCACACGCACACACACACGCACACACACACACACACGCACACACGCACGCACGCACGCACGCACGCACGCACGCACACGCACACGCACACGCACACCACACACACACACGCGCACACACACACACACGCACGCACGCACGCACGCACGCACGCACGCGCGCGCGCACGCGCGCGCGCGCACGCGCACGCGCACGCACACACACACACACACACACACACACACACACACGCCCCACACTCCACGCCCACAATCTACGCACACACTCGCACCCCACACTCGCACCCCACACCAAACCCCGAATTGATTTACTGACTTGACTAGACGGGTTGATTTCCCGAGTCGATCAAAAGAGTTGATTTGCCGAGTTCTTTTACGGAGTTGCCTCGCCGACTTGATTTCCCGAGTTGATTTCGCGAGCTGATTTGCCGAATTGGTTTCCCGAGATGGTTTACAAACTTACGGAATTGATTTGCAGAGTTGATTGGTCGAATTGGTTTACAGAGTTGATTTACAAAACTGATTTGCCGAGTTGATTTCCCGAGTGGATGCGTGGAATTGGCTTGCGCGGAACGCTGAGATGGCGAGTTGGCTTGGCGTTGACTTCTTGGGATTTGCCTTGCAATTTCAACTGCGAGGTGCGAATTGGTTCCCCGAGTTGATTTCCCGAGTTGACTTCCCAGGTTGATTTCCCGAATTGGTTTGCCGAGTTGATTTCCCGAGTTCGCATGCCGAGTTGACGTGTGAAGTTGGTTCGCGGGGCGGCCTGCTGAGTTGAGTTCGCGAGTTGATGCGCCAAGTTGATTTGCCGCCTTAGTTTCCCGAGTGGAGGTGCCGAATGGATTTCGCGAGTTGGTTGTCCGAGTTGATTCCTCGAATGCGAAATGCGAATTGACCGTGGGGTGGGCTTACTGCGCCGAGTTGACCCGCGCCTCGCGTTCGCGTCGCGTGGGCGCAATGCGCGGGGGGCGAGTGTGGGCGCGAGTGCGGGGTGCGAGTGTGAAGCGCGAGTGTGGGTGCGCAGTGCGGGCGGCGATTGCGGGGGCGAGCGCGGGGCGCGAGCGCGAAGCGCGAGTATGCAGTGCGAGTTTGGGCGCCGAGTGCGAGGGGCGGCCGCGCGCGCCGAAATGGTTGCTCGCTAGAGAAGCACGATCGCTGCCCCACAGACATACACAACACATCGACACTCCGCCACATAGGTGAGACGCGCGTAAAGTTCTCAATGGCCCCCACATCGCGAAGCGATTTTTGGGGCAGGAGAAATCTGCAGGAAAACCTTCGTGGGCCTCTCACCTGTTTTGCCTACTGGCATCCTGGCCTCTGACAGCCCGGACGCCCGCGGCGGGGCGGGAATCTCGCGGCCGCGCTGCAACGCGGCTGGCGGGTTCTCGCGGCCGCGCGCTGCATTGCAGCAGGTGGTTCATGGCCGCGCGCTGCAGGGCAGCAGGCCCTTCCTCCTTCATCCCTCCCGCTGGTTGGTTGGTCGACTGGCGCGCGGGGTGCCCTGCGGGCTCCGCTGCCGGGTTGCGGTCTGGCTGGTTGGTTGGATGGCTGGTCGCCGCGGATGCTGGATAGGCTCCGAACGGTGGCGTCACAGGGGCTGTGCCCCGCAAGTCCCGGCGCTGCAGCCGTTTCCCCAGGCGCGCGCTGCAGGGCAGGGTCTGCGCTTTGATCGGCCCGCCCAGTGGCCGGCCGGACTGGCCCGGCGGCGCAGCCCGGGGCCAGATTGGCCGGGGTTGGATGCTTCGAAGCGGGTGCCCGGTGCCACTTCTGCGCCAATCCTCGGAGTGGATTGCGCGATTGCTCGGGGCTGCTGCGCCGTGCGCCTGTCGATTGGCACCGAGGGGCTTGCGCGGTGGAAGGCGCAAGTTCGCGCCGTTCTAAACCAGGGCGCGATGTCTCCAGCGGAAGTCGAGAAATTGGCTGGCCGACTCAGCTGGGGCTCGACAGCAGTTTTTGGTCGCGCTGCCAGCGTGCACCTTGCCACTCTTTTCAAGCGCGCCTCGGGGCGCGGTTCCGCACTTTCGGGCCGTGTTACTCGCGCGCTGCAGTGGTGGCTGCGCTTTCTCGAATGCGTTCCGTCCCGGACTGCGCTGTGCGCGAGGCCAGCGGCTCGCGTTCGCTGTCTTGCGTGCTCGGACGCCGCAGGTAATGGCAATGTGGCGTGCGCCCTTTGTCTTCCTGGCAGGCGCGCGTGGTGAGCTGCCGCCGCGCCCGAAGCGGCGTGGAAATGGGCGCGCCACCGCAGAAACCAAATGGCCACGCGGGAATGGCTCCCCGCAGTTTGCGCGGCCCATGTCCTGCTCGGTCAGAACTTGGGGCGAGCTCGACGCGTTGCTACTCGCAGACAACACCGTGGCCATCAGCACTCTAATCCGAGGGTCGCCCAGGCAGTCCGATCGGAATGATGTGATCGGCGATCCGTGGCTTCGGATCGCCTACGCAGGCCTGCTCCTCTATTACTTTTTTGCGCCCAGCCACCTCAGCGTGGAAGAAGCGCCGACCAGGCCGGAAGGCAAGGCCGCAGTGCTGAACGCGATGCCGGCCGCAAGTTTTCGCAGCGTCGCGCGGGCGGCGCCGCGCGACGCGTCGTGGCCGCAGTGGGGCGGTGCATCGGAAAACCAATGCCCAGAAAAAAACATATGCTCTGTCTCTCTCTCTCTCTTTCTCTCTCTCTCTCTCTCTCTCTCTCTCTCTCTCTCTTTCTGCGTCCT